TCTAAATTACTTTTTTTTTTTTAACAATTTATAATTATTTATAAAATTAATTAAATTTTTTTTATAAGATTAAAATGTTTAATTCATCAAAAAAATAAACCGGGCTAACCCAAGATTCAATCTCATGTCGGAGCGGACCGTTCCTCTAAATTACTCTTTTTGAAAAACCATCAAAGTGATGTCTTTATAAATGCAGAAAATTTTGATAGAGAGAAAAGTGGAAACAAAACTGAAACAATGTTCCATTTTCGTGTCGAAATAAGAAATTTCACTTCACAGGTTAAAGAAAAACTTACAGTCTTTTTGACTGTCATTTCACAGACTTTCATAGTTTCATTAGAAGAGTGAGAAAAAAGAGAGTCAACCTCCCCTTTTGGTGGTATGTATATGTAAGGCTTTCAAGACTCCACCTATTGCGTTTTATCTTCACCTTTTTCGTTTTTCTTTTTTGGGTTATCCTCTCTTTCTCTCTCCCTCTTTGATTCTCTATGCAAAGGCAAAATCTTTTATTTTGTTGTTGGGGAAGACTTACATTTCCTCGAAAAAGCTAGGTGACTCAAGCATGCATTGAACGAGAAGATAACATGGCACTTACCCAAAACTAGGGTTCCCATTTTCCTCTTTCCACCCCGAACCCCTCCCCCACTCCCCATCAAGTTTTAAGCTTCCCTTCTTCTGTTCTGAAGATATAGAGAAACAAATCAAGGGTTTTTCTTAGAGAGAAAAAAGAGAGAGGGATTGAGAAGGAAGAGCAAAAGCAGGAATAAGAAAAAAAAAAAAAATCCCAACTTTGCTTGCCTTCTTTCTCTTTCTTTCTCTCCACAGATTTCTTTTCCTCGGAGAGGGAGCTGGAGACACTTGGATTTTGTTCTTCCTTCTGTCTCCTCTACCCTCTCTTGGTTTTTTTTTTTTTTTTTACTTGGTTAATTTGATAATTTGTTTTAGCTCCATTTTTATGTATATTTCTTCATACTTCTCAATTTTCTGGTGATTTATAGAGTAAATCTAGAGGGGAGTGAAGTGTGTGAGTGGGTGATATATAGGCAAAAAAGGAAGAATAAAAAGGTGTTTTCTTTGATGAGTTTTGGGGGTTTTCTTGATAATAGCTCTGGTGGTGGCGGTGCAAGAATCGTCGCAGACATCCCTTACAGCAATAACATGGCCGCCGGCGCCATCGCTCAGCCCCGCCTTGTCTCCCCTTCTCTGGTCAAGAACATGTTCAACTCTCCGGGCCTCTCCCTCGCCCTTGTAATTTACCTCCTTCTCTCACT